TTAGCTCTCTCCATATAAACCATGTGCTGTAAACAAGGTTTATCCTATGGTTTATAGCTCATGGTTTGTCTGGGAGAGCTAAAGCACAGTCCCAGGTTTGGATAAAATACTAAGCCAAACCATAACTTAAGGCAGCACAGCAGCAGAATGAGCAGAGGAGGAGCAAAGCAGCCGCAGTCTCCTCTGTGGGATCCCACACATTTGTTGTACATGCTAAACTGTGGTGCTAACGATATCAGTGTCCTCTTTTATTTTTAGTTATCTTTCTCTATTTCAGCTAGCTGGAAAAGTCTTAACAATTCCATATTTTTAATAAAGGTAAAGGGACCCCTGACCATTAGGTCCAGTCGTGACCGACTCTGGGGTTGCGGCGCTCATCTCGCATTATTGGCAGAGGGAGCTGATGTACAGCTTCTGGGTCATGTGGCCAGCATGACTAAGCCGCTTCTGGCAAACCAGAGCAGCGCACGGAAACGCCGTTTACCTCCCCGCCAGAGTGGTACCTATTCATCTACTTGCACTTTGACGTGCTTTTGAACTGCTAGGTTGGCAGGAGCAGGGACTGAGCAACGGGAGCTCACCCGTTGCAGGGATTCGAACCGCCAACCTTCTGATCGTCAAGTCCTAGGCTCTGATTTTTTTAAAAAAATAGCCCTATTTACATGTATCATGATGGCCCGGGATCATTTTAGTTGACACAGTCCAGCCCTGTGCACTTTTCAAGAGCGTTGCACAAGCATAGGTTTCCATGGCCAGCACTCACACTCTTGAAAAAGCAAAATGCTTTCCTTGCCTCTTCAACAATGCAAATGATTGTGACAAAAACCTATAGACCCAAATTGGTTCCCTCCTGCACTTGTACGTATATGGCTTGGATTAAGACCCGATTTGTAATGTGCAGTAAATATCTCTTTCACCCTTCATTATGGTAAGGAGGCTTTTTCCCCTTTGCTCTTACTTACAGGTTATTATTCTTGGCGGAATCCAGGGAACGGCTCCTGGTTTGTGCAATCTCTTTGTGAAGTTCTGACTAAGTATGCCAAAGAGCTGGAGATCCTGCAGATGCTCACCATGGTTAACTACAAAGTAGCAAGAAACTATGAATCGCAGTGTGATGACCCACGCTTCAATGGGAAGAAACAGATTCCTTGTGTGGTCTCCATGCTAACCAAAGAAGTTTACTTCTGAAATCTCATTTGTTTGGGCATATATCATCTGCCCATCTTCCAAAGAAAGATTGAAATATACAATGGGGATTTTTTAATCAAAACATTTCAAATCAAACCACACTGGATCCAGAGCTTCGTCAAGATAATCTTTGAAATATGCAATATGACGATTACCTCAGTTGATAGTTAAAATCCTTTTCAACATGCCACCTTGACTGTTTATGTGTATTTTGGTAGATAATTCTGGTCTCTTGTTGTTTCTGGCCACATTGAAAAAGAATGCCTCTAATACCTCTCTTGTTTGACCACATCTGGAGTCGTGTGTGGGTTTTTTCTCATGGAAATTCCTCATAATTCCCCAATATTAACTACTTAAAATGTGTTGGCATTGTGCTATGGCACTGAAACATTTTTCTTAATTTCTCAAATATAAAAGGGAGGAATCACATAGGAATATGACCAAGGTATACTGGAGTTTTCTGTGATTAAATGGTGGACTTGATATCATTGGTATTTTACATATCAGAGGACATATCCATTCATAGGTCTTGCTTGGTCTCAGTGTGGGTCTGAAATCATAAGCCATTTACTTTTCAAAATCACTCTGTTTAAGTCTGTTTCTATTTTCCTTACTTCTCCCTACATTGGAAAACTATCCTTATAAAACCTAAGAAATACTTGAAACGCTTCTTTTTATCCAATATGGAAATACCACTCCAGTTTTATCATGAGAACACTGAACAGTTAAGTGCAGCTTACGACATTTTCAGCGCAATAACAATTTGATAGCAAATATGTGCTGTGTAGTATATAGCTTTCAAACAGAAATAACAGTGATGCCTGTACGTTGTCAGTTAGATCAAAGCACAATTATTCCACAAAGCAATAAGTAAAACTATAGCAAACTAAGTTAAATTAAGAGTTTCTACTTCCTTGTAATGACTAACTGCTGCTGAGAGGCCACACAGTTCTTTACTTTAAATGCCTTAAGCTTGATTGTGTTGCCCTTTCTGCATGATTAGACATTGCAGATTCGGTGCCTACATACTCACTTGAAGGCAAACCACCACCACCACCCATCATTCTTGATCTTACACCATAAATTCACATTTTTCTGTATGTCACTTTATAGTGCCAATTTCTTGTTTCTAGATTTGTTTCCTTGTTTCTAGATTTACAAACAGTGTTGTACAATTGTTGAATTTCTTGTTATTATAACAAGTCCACAGTATACCCAACGCTATGGATGTATTGGCCAACTTTCATTTCATTACCATTTCTTGGCGTGTTCAGTGCTGTGGCTACTTGAAGTAAGCTTGAGCTATGAATCCTAGCTACTCATGGAAACTTGATTTTGTGTCAGTCAAGTCACCAGTACAAAGGCAATGTTTATGTAGTTTTCAAGCTTTAAAGCAAGATAGGAAAAGAGTCTGCTGAATTTTAACTGGGGATAGACCACATCTTACACAACATCAGGTAGGAAATATTTCCATCACTGCAAGAGGAGATCTCCACAGAATGCCAATAACTTCTTAAGAAATCCAGTGCGCTATGGATTCTACAGTGAGACAAATTGCTTTTCTGGCATGATGCAAAAATATAGCAGAAGGATCTCAGGTAGTGACAGCTGCAGGACTAGGCCTCACCATGAAGTGGGAAATATGCAATCCTATGAATTTATCCTGGCAAAGACCTGTATGTTTCTTGAGCAAGAGAGTAAACTAAATGGGAGCATCAATGGGAGTTTTGCCTTGCAAATGGTTGTGAAATAATCTCAGTTAATCATAACATTTTTTGCACTTAAAGAATTAATAAATTCTTTTGACATAACATGTCTGTCCAGTTATATTCAAACAATGAAATAATAGTAAAAACTATAAACTAGTAGTTCAAGACACCGAAACTAATCAGCTGTTTACATGTTGAAGTTAAACTGTTTACATATGATGGAAATGCATAACTCCTTTGTTCTTCAGGGAATCGTCATGGAAAATCTCAATTAAGAGATCAATATATATTTGATGCGAATATAGCCAATCTATAAATATTTTAATGGTTATTTTAAAGCAGCATGGGATCATCTTTTTTCATTTCAGAAACATTAGCTAATTCTACAAAGAAATAAAAACAAATAAAGATAATTTTCTAACCTGCTTGTTTCATTTTTCTCTCTGTGGGAGGAATGAATGTATCTTCTGAGCTCTCATCCACAGAAATTATGGGTGGTTTTCTGTAATCAGCCATGGTATCTCTTGCAAAGCTGAATTCATCTGTTAGAAAATCTGGTTCTATATGTTTTCTTTTAAACGGGTTTGCTTCCAGGTGTGTTGTTCTTAACAGTGCTTGTAAGAAATATTGTGAACTGGGAGCCCTGCCTAGTTCAGCATTCTGTGCCTCACTAGTCAAATGGTTTTTATACAGCCATTAGGAAAATATTAAGGCAACAGCCCATATTCATTGCCTCTTGAACCTGTTTTGCTAATAGCCACCATCTTAAATGTAGTTGTCATTATTTATTTCTCAGCCACCCTTCACCATCTGATCCTAGGGCTGCTTAGAATAATATAATGTAAATTTATAAAAACAAAAACAGTTGCAATTATAAAAATATTCATTCTAAACAGCAATATCGATTGCTTAAAAGAGAGGGGTCCTGCAAAACAAATGCCTTAACTGTCAATTTTGAGAGAGCCCTCCCCCTTTGCCACCATTCTCCACACTTCCAAAGATAGCAGAATTACCAAGAGAACTCCTTCTGCTGATCTTAACACCCAGAGGTTTCTGTAGAGAAGGATGTGGCAGGAACTGAAGGAGAAGCTAATAGCTCAACAGCCTTCTTCTGATCAATCATCGGTGACAGTGGGCCCTAAGTGGTTAAATTTTCCTCTTCTCCTCTCCCTCCTCTGAAGATCAACTGCAGTGTAACGTGACCTGTGCTTCTAGGCACGGGTCCAAGCAGCTTCCCTCTTGCCCTGCTCCTTCTCAAGGGAAAACCCCAATTGCCATTTGCTCTGATGGAGCACTGAAGAGCAGTTTTTTCCAGAGGAAAGCAGTGGGACAAGAAGTGTCGAGAAACCCTCACTGGATTATCCAGTGAACGTTTGCAGAGCAGGTCAAATAACTTCCTCTTCTCTTTCAGCATTGGTTTATGGGAGAAGATTGCCATACATTTAAGTTTCTGATGGTCATTCCCAAAAAAACAACTGGTTGGAAATCCCTAAATCTTGATCCCTTTGGAATGCCCAGGTTAAAGCAAGCTGTGACTTTTTGTTGCTTGCATGAAAGTCTCAAAAATTACAGTGCTATCCAAACCATTTCTACTCAGTCATATTGAATTTAATATGTATTATTTTCAGGTAAGGGGGGCTAGGTTTGCAGGCTCTGTGTTGATCTTTAAATATGCTGCTTGGCAGGGAATATATATCACATTGATTCATTTTGTTGCTATGATCATTCAAAATAAAGCACAATTCTTTTACTACAGTATTTCCCCCTATTTCTCTAATGAAATAGGGGACCGTAATATATATAAGCAGTATTGGGGGGGGGCATGCTGTTTGTAAGGAGAAAGAACCAAAACCATTCTCTTTCTAGGATGTGTTTTGCGACTGAGTTAAATGTAAGCTTGTTGCTATGTCTGTTTCTCAGGTGTAGCATATTAGCATGCTACCCACTTCTGGTTTTCCCCCATTTGAAACTTCTTTCAGCTTGACAGGAGGTTGTACATTTGCCCTGAGGAAAAAGCTTGGGTATTTCCTTATGACTCATAGTAGAGCCTATGTTTTGCGCACTGGTATAAGGAGGTAGTTGCTATTTGCTCAGCATTAAACTAAGAGCAACGGACTGCTCGGAAAATATAACTTGTCGTGGTTTGACATTGTGGATCTTCAGTTTGGCAAACACCTAGTGCCTGTAAGTACCCCTACAAATGTTCATGTTCATTTAGAGTAAAAGTTATCTAATTTCAATCTCCTCCTGTTTCACACATACACTTTTCTTAAGTGGCTTGTTTTGATTTTGTTTTAAAAAGGCTAAACTGTACTATTTTAAATTCTGAAAAAAGCCTCCTTGGGTAAGAGCTGTGCAATGTAAAAGCTCTTTCTTCCACTAAATCCAGTTTGTGGGTGAAAATGTGCTGTGATTTAAAGAGTGACCACCCCTCTCTTCTAATCCTATATTAACATTTTGCAGTAACCATTCTCTGCCGTAAGTTCATAAGTCTCTCTGTATATCATTGCCTTCCTTCACATTTATATCGCCTTGCCTTGATCTTAATATATTTTTAATTGTGGTATGTAGCACTGGTTTATTCTTAATTCTGACAACTTTACCAAGACCAAGTGTGTGTCTGCTCAGACCCAAGTGGTAACATAGAAAATTTTTATACTGTCTTTAGCTTTAAAAAATATTTGTTTAGAGATCTTTTAATTCAGGGAAGTCATTGATGCCACAAACAACATGTAGTGCAATCTTTTGCAAGACTATTCAGAAATAAATCCTATTAAGTTCACTGAGCTTAGTATACATAGGATTGTAGCATTAACCATCATTTGTTCTGTGCCTTCTCTATTAATGCAGAATTGCAAGGGCTCATCACACTAAAAGGGAGGTCTTTAAAAAATAAAATGAAATCACCAAATGCTACCCATTAGATTAATTTGACTGGAATACAACTGAGGGATATATATTAAGTAAATGGCAGCAAGCATAGGTCAATAGGAGAAATAGGACATTAACTGAGGTAATGTGATTAGTCAATAGTAGAAATGGGATATTAACAAAAAACAATATATTACCAATCTTTTGAGTCATTCAGCTTGATGGCAAGTAAAATTGAATGCATATTGATTGAATCTTAGGGAAAGTATTCCTGAGACCGAGTTCTTTAGAGAACACCTGAATCAACTCAAGTTTGTTCCGAATACAGCAGGAAGTGAGAGGCAGAGTGTGAGTTTGCATGGAAGTAAGATCGCCCTCAAACTTGCTTTCCAAAAACTGAAATAACTTGACTAAGGCTAATGATCAGTCCTTAAATAAAATTGTCCCAGAATGGATTTGCTGTTTTCAGAATTGTTTTTGTCAAACTGGGCAGAGGAGGAGATACGAAAAGAAGACAGAGCAGTGGAATGCCGGGTTTAAGCTTATTGCTCAGCTATAGTGTTTTCTTCTTCTAAAAAATAGTTATCGGTATGTTTATCCTAGGAGGCAAAGAGCAGCTTGGGGAAGAGGGAATTGAATCATAGACTTGGGGGTTGTATTGGCATAGGAGCACACTCTGCAATGCCCTCATGGCTGCCTCCACACTCATTTTTCCACATGGGCAGTTCACAGAGAATGAGTGTGTGGATGGGGTGTGTATGCATGTGGATAGGGTGTGAGGAAAAGAAAGGGGGTATCTGTGTAAAGTGTAAGTTGTGTGTGTGTGTGTGTGTGTGTGTGTGTGTGTACATGTACTAGTGATGGAAGTTTGGGTTGATTGTTGCAGACAGCAATTTTAAGCTATCACCTAATTCCCTGCTGGCAAAAAAAAAAAAACTCCCACAGAATGTGGGCAATTCTTGATCCAGCCTTTGGGCTAAAGAAAGGCCAAACTGTGTATGTGCATGCATCACTGGGGGATATTTTAAAGACCTAGCAGTCTACCTTTCCTCTATTTACTTTGCTGCATATTTTGTGATTTTAAATCTCTGCTGAGGTTCTCTCACCAAAGAGTACTTGCCCAAACCTGGATCTTGGCATCCAGGAAATTCTCCTTTCTTTATACCTATTTATTTTTCCTTGCACCAACAAAAACAAAATTGATCAATAATTGCATATTGCATATATTTCTTGCAATATCTCACTTTCCTTTCAGGTAGGTTGATTTGTCCTCATCTGGATATGAATGAACAACACATCTTGTTTGGGTATGGTTGCAATTTCAGGGTTGCATTTTAAATCAGTTAATTTACAGGCTTGTATTAGTTCAGCTGTGCGTGCATAGTCTCACAAAGTAGTTGGATGCAATGTGTGTAACCTATTCCATCCACAAAATAAGAGTTTCTGTAGAGTTTCTATAGTGCAAGTTCATGTTCCGATGGGGCTAGCATCTGGAGCCAACTGACAATTCCCAGATAAGATCCTCCCCCTATTGTGTGGGCAGGGTAGTCCCTCCCCCTACCTGGCCTGATCACCTTGGCAATGCCTCCCCAGGAGGGATTGGGCAACTGGCTGAGGTAGGCAGAGACCTCCAAGTATCCCAACTGGGGAAGGCAAAGCCAAGCCTGTGGTAATGGTGCCACATAGGGTCCAGGGGGCTGTGTGTGACCACACAAAGGGCACCCTCCATTTAATGTGGGGAGCAGTCATTGTATCTGCCCTACACTGGTTGCTCTTGACACTCTTTTCTTAGCCCCAATTCCAAGCTGCTTCCCAAGTAAATGGCTGAACCAATGAACTCTGGTAAGGGGAACATAGAAAGTCCCTTTCTTATACACTTTTGTGTTGTGGTTACTGCTAATAAAGCCTTTCTCCACTTTTAGGAGCAAATGGTGAGTACAGTAGTTGCATGAAATAAATGGATCTCTTCAGGCATTTGAGGTGAACACCTGTAGGCTTAAAGAGGAGAGAGACACCACCACCCCATTTCATATGTGACTTAGTGCTGCTTTGGAGACAACCTCATGCCTCTTGTCCCTCTGATGTTACTTCATACTTCAGCCCACACTTGTTTCATTTCTACCAAACCAAAACATTCTAAATCAGAATCGGTTTTACCAGAGTTTTGGAAAGTATTTATTTGTTTAATTAAAATTTTCAAAGATTCATTGGTGGGAATCAAAGAATTGGAGAGTTGCAAGGGACCCCAAAGGCACAACCACCTGCAAGGCAGGAATCTCAGCTAAAGCATCCATGACAGGTGGCCATCCATCCTCTGTTTGAAAACCTCCAATAAAGGAGAGTCTATCTCCTTCCAAGGTAATCTGTTCCACTGTCCAACACCTCTTACTGTCAGAAAGTTCTTCCTAATGTTTGGTTGGAATCTCCTTTCTTGTAACTTGAATCCATTGGTTCAAGTCCTACCCTCTGGAGCAGAAGGAAACAAGCTTGCTCCTTCTTTCATGTGGCAACCCTTCAGATATTTGAAGATGGCTATCATATCGCTCCCCAGACTTTTCTTCTTCAGGTTAAACATCTCCACCTCCCTCTAGCATTCCACATAAGGCTAGGTTTCTAGACCTTTTATCATGTTGGTTGCCCTCCTCTGTACACATTCCAGTTTGTCAATATCCTTAAACCGTGATACTCGGAAGCGGACACAGTACTCCAGGTGGGGTCTGGTCAAGGCAAAATAGAGCAGGACTATTACTTCCCTTGATATGAAGTAGGTATTATTGTAAGCAGTACACCCATCCATTCATTTAAAAAACAACTGTTGATCTAATTTACGGTCTTTTGTTGCCCTTTTTATGCTGTGTAAGTTCTTGGAATGCTAATTGTATTTTATTGTTCAAAACATTCAATGGAGCAAGTGGGAAGAAAGGACTGTAGGAATAAAATAGTGCTGTTCTTTATGTTATATATTCATTGCATCGTTTTGGGAGAATTATAAATTGAGGGGTTTTTTGTAGTTATTTTCTAGCACACAGTCACCATCTACATCTATGTTAATATTTTGTTAACCTAGTTAAGGGGTACTGACAAATAACAAATATTCGTTAACATCTGATAAACTGCTGCTTGGTTACAGTTTCTGTTTATATACCGCATAGCAGAAGAACAAAAAAGAAAATTAAGTACTTCTGTTCCTCATAATATTCTGTTTATTTAATCTGAACAGGAACTGCAAGTACTTACTGGAAAGGCAAGGTGTGGTTTATACAAAGTCCTAGATTATAGTGATGGTGCACTGGGGCAGTACATATTAAACATGAGTTAAAGTGGTCTTTAACCCTCACTATTTGTTTGTTTACTAGGTTGAATTAGCAATCAAAATGGATGCTCCACGAACGATGTGCATAGGTATGAGATGGAGTCTCATGAGTTTATCCAGACAGCAGGCCATACCCGTTTCCCTGGCAATTTTCATGTTTTTCTCAACATGCACTGTTTCTTTTTTTAATGGATGCAATCAGTATGTGACTCCAACCAAAATTAGCATACAATTTTATGGCCCTGCCATGTATTGTCTTGTTATTCGGTTGGCGGATTAGCCGTGTCCCTGTTCCAAAACATGGCAGAGTTTGCATATTTGGGCAGGGATATTCAGGTCTTGAGCCACATTGGAACTGACACATTTGCACTTAAAGCCCTGCCCTCTGATCCAAAGATATGGGATGGACTCCCTTCACTCAGTGTTGTAGAAAATGCATTCTGCACATGCATTGGATTGTTGCTGGATGAGTCCTAGGGATGAGTCTTGGCTGAGTTAGCCTGAGATCTGCTTCTGATTCACCATGATGCTCCACCCACAATCTTTCATTTCTACTGGGTGATATTCTTCAAGTACTTGATTTGGGTTTTCCAGCAGCAGCATCCATAAAGACTGTCCTGCTCCCCGACATAGTTTTAAGCATTTTATCTTGGATTGTGCCAGCCGGTCCAGTAGTAGATGTGCTATGAGTTGTAGGAACAAAGGGACCACCTCCCCTTTAAACATTCAGCATATATTCAGGTAGATCTTCCAGTCTATATTCTGATTTCAACCAAATTTCTGAATTGGAATTTTGCTCCAGCTGCTGGGAATTGTTAAATTGCTGTGCACTGCCTTGATATTTTATGTGAGTGGGAGAAACATAAGCACTTCAATAAATAAATCAAACTGGACCAATCATGGTAGGACTGGTCAAAAATAATTCCATATTTTACTTCAAACACAAATATCATTGATTTTTGTCATTTTGAATTGGATTTCTCTCCCTCCTTGACTATGGGTCTGTGGCCAAGGGATACAGAAATCTACTCTTCAGGGTTCTTTTCCTATGGAGGTCATGGAATGTTTCTTACTGTTATCTCTTTATCAGGAAATTCTAGCTATGGAGATGTCTACAAGCATGGTTTCTTCATCAAATCCCCACCTCCTCATCTTTTCTCCAATCAGGTACTGTTGACACCATAATAGCCATGGTGCTGCTGCTATATTGTTGTTGTTGTTTAGTCGTGTCCGACTCTTCATGACCCCATGGACCAGAGCACGCCAGGCACTCCTGTCTATAATAATGATGGGCAAATAGCAATTATAATTGTACTCATAATGTGTTACTGTATTTCTAATTCCTTGTCTTTTACCTTTCTTCCAACAGAACTCCTGGAAAAGGAGGCACTTTATCCTTTCCAAGTCTGGCAAGAATGACTATGTCCTGAGGTATCTTAAAGGTGCCCAGTTAAAGGGTTACATTGAAATCAATGAGTAAGTATCTAGCCATGTCTCAGAATGATCGCTCCCCACATTAAATGGGGGAAGCCCTTTGCGTTGTCACGCGCAGCCCCCTGGACCCTATGCGGCACCATTAGCACAGGCTTGGCTTTGCCTTCCCCAGGTGGGATATCTCGATCCCCGGCAGGGGACTGGGAGGGATAAATGCACAATGACTGAGCCAAGGTCTACCCACATTAGACCATAATAAAGTTGTGGCCAATTTTAATCCCATAGCACGTTGTCTTGAGTCGCTATTCCACACAGGGGACTCCGCCTGTCCATGGAAAGCTTCTTTCAACAGTCCCTGACTGCCTGAATTGCTGCTTGCTGGCCCCCTCAAAAAAAGTTCTGCTCCAGGTTCTTCCCAAATGCATGGTGGAGCACCATATGAAATTGAACCACCTCACAGGTTAAAAGCACTGTGAGGCAGTGAGCAAGACTTATTGCACATCTACTTATTGCACAAAGAAGCTCTGATGGTATGCATATAGGGACCCTGCAGCTGGGGTGGGGTGGGGTGCCTGGGGGGTGCATTGGTAGGAGAGTGGCTAACCCATGTGGACCTGCAACCCCCTCACAGTAATGCGCTTTTAATGTGTGAGAACCCGTGCAGCTGTTTAGGGTTCTATGAGTTCTAAAATGGAACCTCAGCCAGTCATCTCTCCCGATGTTCTGAGGTAATTCTAATCTGCTTTATTGTTTTAAGTTTTGTGTGTTTTTAAAGCGTGGTTGTGGTTTCTTCCTTGATTTTCCTTGTTTTATCTTTTGTAAACCGCTTTGAGGTTTGATTGTTTTTGTTTTAATTGAAACAAAAACTATTACATTTTCAAAATTCACAAAGAAAGAATAAAAAGAATAATTTGATCTTCAACGACATATTCTAGGATAAAAATAGGTGTTACAAAATACACGGTAAAAGTATTTAAACATCTAAGATAAACAGAACAACATTGAAAAAGAAAAAGAAAAGAAAAAACCAAAGCAAAATGACAAAAACTAGAAGAAGAAAAAATACTTTTCTTAAACAAACATTTTTTAGGAAGTTCAAACCAATACTTGAATATTCTGTGCGCAAAGTCCTTCATTCTAGTTTGAGTCCCTTATGATTTTGTTGACTTCCTTCTATCTCTTCGCTGTTTCGACTCACCTATTACAGTTAAATAATCTGTGCTTTATTGTTTATCCAAAATTGTTTTCCTTTTCTGTGAAATTAATCAAAACAGATTCATTTCTGCTTTGAGGTTTTTGACAATTCAGCATTATATAAATTTTGAGGAACGAACGAACGAATGAATGAATAATCTGGCTGCTGCATTTTGGACAAATTGAAGTTTCTAAGGTGTCTTCAAAGACAGCCCCATATAAAGTACATTGCAATAATCCAGTCTGGCAGTTACCAGAGCATGGAGTACAGTGGCCAAGTCTTCTCTGTTCAAAAGGGGCCATTGCTGGAGACAGGATTAATATCATTTTAAATATATGCATCACTATATAACACTTGTCTAGCCATTTAAAACCTCATGTGATTCTCTTTTATATAACTAGTTAAAATAACCAAGCTTTGTGAGTGTGTTATATTCGGAAAAGGAATGTACCAGAATGCATTAGGCTGCCATGTGGCGTAATTTAAGCAAGGTGGAATATATACTTCTCTCCCTCCTCATTTAATCCCCACAACAACCCTGTGAGGTAGGGTTGAGCTGAGAGATAGTGACTGGCCCAAGATCACCCAGTGAGTTTCATGGCTGAGCAGGTGTTTGAACCCTGGTCTCTCAGCTCCTAGTCCAACACTCCAACCACTATACCACATTATATTACACATTACATGCTTTTTATGACATGCACAAGATTGCAGTTTATTTCATCTATTAGAACTCAAGAATCAACCACGGTTCATAGTGGTGCTACAATATATAGACATATTGAAGTTTGGTTATGTTTCATGTCTCCGAGGTTTTTTGTATCTATGGATTAGGCTAAGAATTTGGGACAGACAAGTTCTTATTTCGCACTTGCTTTTCCCATTCTGGATTATGTAAGACCAAAACACTTGTTTAGAAATGACATGCAGTAAAAACAGTCTCATCACACACAAGAACATATTTTACAATGCTGGATCATTGCCTATGACATCTTTTAACACGATGAGCCACACAGACTGTGTACATCTTTCATATATTTACCTAACAGGACTTCAGAAATAGAGATTGGCATAGGTGACCCTGAGAAAATGACAGTTGTGAAGAAGATGTTTAAATGCAAGCCTGCAGAAGTGATGACCATCAGAACAGAAAATAGGGTTTTCTATCTTATTGGATCAGACAGGTATGTTCACCATTCTTTATAAATATGTACGTATAGCTTTCATACCTGCTAGTATGAAGGCAATGAATTAAAAAAAATTAAAATACCAGTACAGGATCCTCAAATTGGTCAGATCACATCCTCAAAGAAATTATCACAAAAGCCATCATATATATTACACAAAAAAAGGATTCCCCTTACAAAGTTTACAAAGCTCATGAAATATGTTTGTACAGCGAGATGAGTGGAGGTGAAGGAAATTTAAGGAGCCACCATAGCTTAATAAATCAAGAATGGTTTCCCTACTGTGATTCCTTTCTTGCCCTGTTAAGCCACTTACTATAAAGTGTGCGTTTCCCTTCTGAAAAACCCTTGCTTTATAGGCTGTTCTGGAAGTAGAAGAAGAGCTGTGCTGCAAGGTAAACTATGAGGGAATCTTTATTTGAGAAGAAGCAGCCACAGAATAATCTCTTTTGGCATTACACATGCGGCAGGGATTTTCCCAGAGTCAGCATACCTAGAACGTGTGAGAGAAATCAGTGCTGCTTGAAAAGAGATAATGCAAATCCTGTTAGGTACCTTTTTACCTTATACTCTCCTCCCCTTATTCTGCACATTCAATACCCAGCAGAGACTTTGGCACTGAAACAAAGTACCAGTCTGACCTCAAAGAAAACAAATACCCTTTGTTTGTTTTCGGTAACTTAGAATGGAGTGCCAGTTTCCTTAAAGGCTACTTTGAAAGATTCTAACCACTCCTGCAAGGCAGTGGGTACAGAATTTTCCTCAGGGTTTACTCCTGAAGGCCTTCCCACGAATGAGTTTAGCTGCAAGGCAGCAGAGGTTTAGAATCAGAGTTTTCCTTCTCCTAGATGGGCTACCTTCCCAGGTTGACAGCCCCATCTTCCCCTCATTTCCCTCTATAGCCTACAGCCACGCATTAACAACAACTAATGGAAAAGGTGGTGGTTGATAGAAACATTGTTTTTAATATAGATATCACAGTCACCATCAGACAGGGGAATCTCATCCTCACAATAAAGGTGGGGCAGAACCTGTGGGGTCCCCAGTGGGTGTATTGAAATGCCACCCTGCAAGAGACTGGTCTGGCTATCTCTGCACTTGCCTTCCAGCGTGCCTTCTATATGAGCTTGGAACCCAAGTCAACAACACCATCCTGACAGTGTAGGAAGCCTGGAGCCTTAGTGCGAAATGCCAAGGCTGCTAAGCAAACCATAATTGTCTTGGTTAGAAGATTTAATCCTTTTCAATGTGTGCAGTCACCCTGCTCCCATTCACATAGTGTGCTCAGGCCAGATATGCCTTTATGTCTGGGTTAAAACACTGATTAAAAATGCTTTTGTTCAGCTAAAAGGGTGCCCAAATAAAGCAGATAATGGATTATTTTTTTTACTGTTCTTTATCAAAGTAGTGCATATAAAGCTGCAGGTGTACATTACATGCAGGTCCCACTATCTAAACAGAATGCATTTGCAGGAAATCGTTTCATAAGCAAACATTTCCATAACAAGTTGACCATTTCCACTGATCTCTTTGGGGAAATGTGTTCCCGACCACAGAATATGACAAAATGTCAAAAATACCTGGGAAAGCCCTCTGAAACCTTGCAAAGGCAAATAAGGAAAGAAAAAAATACTCTTATTTGTCTGATCTCTCCCCACTTCCTCCTAACTTCCTCCCACCATGGTTTCTGGTGAAATGGCTGCCGTGGACCAGCAAAACACAAAAAGTAAGGCTTCTTTAAGGCTGCTTATTTGTTTTCAGTACTACACTCAGGTCCAGCTCTATGGATCTGTGGTGTGTATAATTTGCATACTAATTCCTCATTTTTGGATAAGTGATTTTTTTTTATAACAAGTGTTTGGATAGCGAGACCTGTGTATATTTAAAATACACTAGGGTTTTGCTTCAGTCCTATTGCTTTGACTCCTAAATTTATGCAGATCTGATAAATTAATTTACTTAGTTTGCAGTCCTAACCATGCCTAATCAGAAGTATGTCCTATTTGGGTGACTATAGAGAATGAGAGTTGAGATTCTTTTAAGATTTGAAATCTTCTACAGCCATGGAATAAAGACATCCCTGGTTATATGGTGAAGGATTACCAGTGAGAATCTTGAAATCATGGGTGATTAACTTTGGCCTTCCATATCTTGCCAAACCACAACCCCCACCACTTCTGACTATTGGCCAACTGCTGGAGTCCAAGAATGCTTTAGATGTTTTCTGGATATACCCAGGGTACTATTCAACTCTGAGTAAAACTTACTTGAATATCACCCAGCAATACAGTGGTACCTCGTGTTACATACACTTCAGGTTACAGACGCTTCAGGTTACAGACTCCGCTAACCCAGAAATAGTGCTCCAGGTTAAGAACTTTGCTTCAGGATGAGAACAGAAATCGTGCTCCAGTGGCATGGCGGCAGCAGGAGGCCCCATTAGCTAAAGTGGTGCTTCAGCTTAAGAAGAGTTTCAGGTTAAGAACGGACCTCCGGAACGAATTAAGTACTTAACCCGAGGTACCACTGTATTGCTCATGCCAGGGATTATGGAACCTTAATCCCAAGGCTCAAATATGGCCCTTGAGGCCTCCATATCTTTCTCCCCAAGCAATTCTCCTTCACTAGCCCTGCTTCCATAACTTCCTCATCCTAGTTTTTCCTGTCCTTGAACTGTCTTGCCTGCCTGGCTGAAGAGATGTAGAGGGTAGGGTGTAAAGACCTCTGACTTTTACATAGGTGGGATGTAGCCTACCTGACAAAGTTAAAAGTCTGATTTGTTGCCACTTTTGACTCTGGTCACAACCATCACAGGCCTGTGACTCCCATCCTTGATGTTTTCCCATGAGGCAATGCAGCCCTTGGGCTGAAAAAGTTTCTCTGCCCCTTGGCATATAGGGAGGAGGCCCTTGAGCACCTTGAAGATGCTGCTCAAGGATTTGGTTCTTCTTAAAAGTAAAAAAAAATAAAAATTCAGAGGAATACAATCTCATTCCTAATATTTTGTTTCCTTATCTGTCTCCTTGAAATGTAATTTCACTCTCTAGCAAGGACGTTGAGGACTGGGCCACCTTCCTGTTTTCAACCAGCAGAGAAACAAAGGTCAGTGGTTGCAATGCTGTTTTAATTATCGAACATCAGCCATTGACATTTTTTAAAAAATAAAAATAATAACAAATGTCTTCACCATTTGTTCTACTAGTGCTCGGTTTTCTTTTCTAAACTGTAACTTACAACTGGAGTCTGTCAGTTTCAGTTCTCTCAAGTTTCTAATTTTTCCAGTCTTAAATTCAGTTCTCCATGTTTTGTAGCAATTGACACATTTTTAAAAATCCTCATGGAAATTTACCAGCATTTTAGTGTAAATTTCTCCCAATAAGCACATTTTATATGCACTTTTGAGAAATGTACACATTTGCATTTTTTCAACCAATTTCCCCTAATACAATGCATATTCATTTGTTATTTTCACCAATCTATTCATTTTTTCTTGCATGCTTTCCTCTAGTATATACATTTTTGTAAGCCTTGTTTGGTTGGAGAGCTAAATAGCAATATTCATGTAAATGTCAATTTCAAAAAATAGGTACGCTTTGGTTTCATAATGTTTTGTAAAGTGTGGAATTTGATTGACTCGGCTTCAGATGAGATCTGAATTGAATTTCTCCCCCATCCCCACTTACAAACTAAGGGAAGTTTTAGGAATGAATTTGTATCTTATCTCTAAACAGGGAGCAGGAGAGAGCTACAGATACAGTTACTGTGATACCAAGGAAGGACAGCATAATGGAGGTGCTTGCTATCTAGGCTGCATTCTTGTGCTATTGGAGTGCATTGCAGTGCCATTTAAATCAATTTATCTATTAAAAATGTAAATTAAGCACCATTCTTCTCCACATATATTAACTTTATTTTTCAACTACATATATTCTGTGAACAAAAGTGTTTTGTTTGGCTTTTATGAATCTCCTGGAAACGAATAACTAGGTAATTATAAAATGAGACAGATTACATAAAACAGGTCATTAGATGATCCTTTGCTAGGCCACTTTTTGGTGTTAGTTGGTTAATTGTCATCTTACACTGAAGTAGCATTGGAATGGGGATGATGGGAGTTGTTGTCTGGCAACATCTGGAAAACCACAGGTCCCTCACTCCCAGATCTATCAGAACTCAGTTTACAGATCCAAATTTTTCACTAGCAAAGGCTTGATTAATAGATGCTGTTTGGATCTACAGGCTAAATTCCAGGACAAAACCTCAGTCGCCATTTTCAAACAGTTCCTGTAGAGTTATTATCAATTTCCCTCCTAAACAGCAGCCAAAATTCCTGGAGACTCTCTCTTCCCCCCTCTCTCTGTGTGTCTGCCAGTGTTCTGGAACTGAACTTGCTGCATTCGGGAACAAACTAGACTTTTCATAGCATGCAGCTTCAGAGGCAATTTTTCAGGCATGGGGACAAGCGCTTATTGGGAAGCAGGTGCATACAGAGATGGAAGGCTTATCACTAGCTTAGATAGCTCAGTTGGTTAGAGTGTGGTGCTGATAACGCCAAGGTTGCAGGTTTGATCCCTGTGTGGGACAGCTGCATATTCCTGCATTGCAGTCCAACTCTGCGGTTCTATTCTTCACTACCTCAGCTTCAGCTAGGAGCCTTGAGGGGGAGAAGCTTCCATAGGTCGTGGGGTGATCTTTATTCACATCGTGGTGGGCAGGGAAGAGTTAAACTTTTATATTATTACAAAGGTTTTAACTATGTGAAATTACTCTGTTGCTTCATTTCTTGACCCAGAAACCAGAAATGAGAAGTCGGTCAAAATCTTCACCAGCTTGTCTTGATGAAGTAGCTGCTGACATCATCAAGAAGGAACCGTGTCCTGACAATGAATATGAGGTGGTTGTTATATACTGTCTTTTTCATTTTAAGGGTGCTTCCAGGCTGTCAGTATTTCATGGGAAGGATTTCAAGGGCATACCAGAAAACTTAGGTTTGCGCAATTAAAGTGCTCTGTTCCCCGGTGCCACAAATCCATCTTAAAAAAGAAACAGTTTTTTTGGCAGTAATTGGAAAATGCATTGAAAATTGAGGGATGAATGAATGAGAATGCATGTAAACACCATTCAAATAAGTCACGATGAATCCAGGATAGGTACTCATTGTCATATAACTTCCCCACAAACAAATCAGAATAAATGCACAATAAAGACTAGATATAGCCTAATTCCAGGGACGCTGGTGGCGCTGTGGGTAAAACCTCAGCGCCTAGGACTTGCCGATCGCATGGTCGGCGGTTCAATCCCCCGCGGCGGGGTGAGCTCCCGTCATTCGGTCCCAGCTCCTGCCAACCTAGCAGTTCGAAAGCACCCTTAGGTGCAAGTAGATAAATAGGTACTGCTTTATAGCAGGAAGGTAAACGGCGTTTCCGTGTGCTGTGCTGGTGCAGGCTCGCCAGAGCAACTTCGTCACGCTGGCCACATGACCCGGAAGTGTCTGCGGACAGCGCTGGCCCCCGGCCTCTTAAGCGAGATGGGCGCGCAACCCCAAAGTCGGTCACGACTGGCCCGTACGGGCAGGGGTACCTTTACCTTTACCTTTATAGCCTAATTATTGGGTAAGCTTTGTGAAAGAAAATCAGGATGAATGTGCAATAAATAAACTTGTCTGGGCGAGTGCTAAAAATAAAATAAAAATATTATTCCTTTTCTTTTCCACACCCATAACAATTTTAAAGTAGAACTACAACTCAAGTACCTGATTTTGCTTAAATGTGTTTTATCAGCAGAAAGAACAGTGCTAATTTCTAGTTTTAATGAATCACCCTGAAATAAAGCTATGCTTTCTTTTATTCTGTTTTGATTCGTTGCGCTGCAGGATATAGGAACATCCATCTCCAAGAAGAGGCCCTATTCAGAGCCTATTACTCAAGAATCCTCCCAAGAAGCCCCTGTTTATGAGTCACTGACAGTACTGCAACTAGTGAGTGTTGAAAGTGGGACTGGAAGAACTGTATGGATAATTTGAAGCAGCTACTGCATCACTTCCATGCATTGTGTAGTGGAGAAAGTTGCATGAGGCATTGCTCAGTTATTTTCAAAAATAAAATAAAATAAGGGTTTGCAAGTGATTAAAGGTAAAGGTACCCCTGACCGTTATGTCCAGTCGCGGACGACTCTGGGGTTGCGCGCTCATCTCGCTCCATAGGCCGAGGGAGCTGGTGTTTGTCTGCAGACTGCTTCCGGGTCATGTGGCCAGCATGACTAAGCCGCTTCTGGTGAACCAGAGCAGCACATGGAAATGCCGTTTACTTTCCCGCCGGAGCGGTACCTATTTATCTACTTGCACTTTGACGTGCTTTCGAACTGCTAGGTGGGTAGGAGCTGGAACAGAGCAATGGGAGCTTACCCCATCACAGGGATTTGAACCGCCGACCTTCCAATCGGCAAGCCCTAGGCTCTGTAGTTTAGACCACAGCGCCACCCGCGTCCCTGCTAGTGATTATTTGCTACTAATTATTTCTTCATTTTCTGATCCTTCCTTTTCACACCCACTTGCCTCTCCTTATCCCTGGCTTCCACACAGTTGCCCATAATGCTTCCATTGCAGAAACGTGCTTAGAAACTTATATCCATGGGCACGATAATATGATTATAATTATAATTATTATATTTATTTATAGCCCATGTTTTTCCCAGACCAGGACTCAAGGTGGCTTGCACAGATTGAAAAAAACACAGATAAAATACAGAAAGCCAAAAACATATAAAATATAATAATTTAAAAGTAATTAAATTATAATAGAATTGAAACAGTTTAGAAACAAATCTGTCATAGGTCAGCAGGTTTGAGTACATTCATACCAGCTGTTCTCCATGTTGTTATGGCACATCTCAACCTGATTACATTCCTCATAAGTGTTTCACTTCTGATTTTCTTGTGGGGCAGCAGGTCTTCCTCATTGCTGGTTTCATTTGCCAAAAAAGAGCAAGTGTTTGCATATTATCCATTTTGACCTTTCTCAGAGCATGATGAGCAAAGAATAATGACACTGTAAATATGTCTGTACTTTTGTTTCAGCGACACCTGACAAATCATCAAGAGTCAGAGGAAAAATCCAAAATGGAGGACTACTATGCTTGTCCAACAAATATTCTAGCTACGGTAACATATATATCATTATTTGCTCTGTTCTAAATAATGAAGTAATGCTTATATCTCTTTTTAATGTGCAGAATCCTTTATCTTGTGTGCAGATTTGTTCCACGCCAGTTTAGTCTCGTAGCACTGTATAAAGCTTGCGTCATACTGAGTCAGAACATTAGTCCACAGAGCCCAGTATTATAAATTCTGACTAACAGCAACTTCCAAGGGTCTTATTCAGAGGTCTTTCCCAGCCCTTGCATCTGAAACAATTTGTTACTAGAGCTGGATATTAATTATCATCATCATTATATGATGATGATGTATACCCCCGTCCATCTGTCTAGGTTTCCTGGTTTACAGGAATTTACATTTCAGGGTGTTTGAACTAGAAGACCCTTAGGTCCCTGCCAACTCCAGAATTCTGTGATTCTACACCTGGGAACTTTGGTAAGCAAAATGTGCTTTACAGCAGTGGCTCTCACTGTTTCGGGTCTTCTGCCTCTAAATCAACCCTCTTCCCCCTCTAAGATTTGCAGTTGTTCCAATACTCAGAATTTCTTCAGAAATTAAACGATTGTAGTTTGCTGAAACCAAGTCTTTCATGAAGCAGTAAGTGTTATCTTATTTTGCTTTAGTGACATATCAGTTTTATCCAGACAGACTAGACCATATGTATTAGTGGGTTCAATAACAGTACTGAGAGCACCGCTTTTAACAGAGTTGAGTTTTTATTTCCTTTGGATACGTTAATATACTTTGCATATGCTTTTTACTTTCATAGCTGAATGATATGCAGGATAAATTCAGCACCACAGACGAGACTACTAACCCAGATAAGGAAAAGGTTGGTGAACCTGAAGAATATATGCCCATGGGATGCCTGTGAGTATTCAAGCATGGTGCATTTTGCTCCTAAATTTATCTGAAGCAATAGTTCGTGGATTTCTTTTGCAAAGCTTTTGCTAGATCAGGATTCCAAATCCCATCAACTCCAGCCAGCATGGCCATTGGTCTGGAGTGATTGGAGTTGTAGTGCAGAAACACATGGAGGGGAACAGGTTCCCCATCTCTGTGCTAGACCATCATTGGTTCATCTTTATTGCACCTGGGGGAGAACATTTTAGTCTACTGTGGCACTCTGTTTCTTTCTTACAACAAAGTGATGTCTACCTTTAGGTGTTAAATTAACATATCCAGAAAGATAGTATTATTACCAGTAACTGCTGGTGCAAATTGATCACTCTTGTAATCTTGAATAGATTCCTTCCTTCCTCTCCTCAGAAGGAGCTGATCCTGTAGAAGCTACTTTGTCTTAACCAGTCTGTGCCAATTTCCAAGCCCATCAGCCCTGGCAAGGCAGTAACGTACATGCCAACAGCAATCACATAATTCCCCCTGAATCGGCTTTTGGCATGTTACTGTAGCTGCTCAAAGATTGCCAGGACTTCTGGTGCCTCGAAGCCCTGGAAAAGGCCATAGTACAGAAGCTGGATAAACACAAAATATATTAAAATCCCCCAAGACATTGGCTGGGTACACTCACGGCTCATTGCCAGTGAGTAAACCACCACACAGATTTTTTTTTAGTTGAACCAGTAGCCTGAATTCATTGTATGGATTCTGTTGCCATTCAAATTCAGCGAGGATTCAAATAATTGTTAAGGTTTTATTCCAGGTGTTATTTTTGTGGGGAGGTAACACTATAGTCTAGCTTTCAGTTTCATGTTTGGTTTAGCACCCAAACTGCTAGACAGTCATTGTACCATTTTTCATGGAGCATTCCTCGGATCCTCTAAGAAACCCAACTCATGTAGACTCAAAAGCATGCTATAGAGCTGTTTTAAAGTCCATTTCAGTGATTTGGGGTTGTCGTGGCAAGTCCTGTCCTGGCTGAGGGCTGTAGACCAGTGTAACCTGAGTCCGCTTGTTCCATCTAGATTAGAAACCTTCAAACAATAACTATGTCCCAGAAAGTGGAACAAGCTGGACGTTCCTGTGGATTGTAAGCCTTTCTGGGCAGTGGCTGAGGTCAGGTTTCCCTTCCCCACAAGCAAGACAGACTCACAGGAACTCCGTGCAGACTGCATACCATCGCTATGCTGGTGGGGTAGTACTGGGTTCATGCCTGCTGGCTCTGTCCTGATCTCCACACCTTAGTAGCATCACATGCACAGTGCCTGCACTTGTAAAAGCTGTTACTCCCCATGTCCAATCTTTACCGTGTGGTTTTTGTTTTTTGTTTTTTTTGAAAAATACAGGTCTCATGTCAAAGGTCTGTTTCAATCATTGGGACTTCAGTGGGGCTGAATAGAGTGGCAGAGAAACATCCAAAGCTCTCCCACTTGTGCTAGCCATGGAAGAGAGGCGGCTGTGAAACTGCAGTTTTTCCCTGCACCGGCTTCAGGATGGTGCAGCAGAGAGGCCCAAATCAAGTCCAGCATCAGTAGCTGGAGTGGCTTAGGATCCAGCAGATACTTGGTGGACCCTTCTCCACACCATCCTTGTCACCCCCACACACCAAAACTCTCAGTTTGGGGGCTTTCCATTAGCTAAAACTGGCAGAGATATCTCCAACTGTAGGTCTGTTCACCCAGTTATAGTGGGGACCTCTGTGGTGGTGGAGGTCCCCTGTTGGCAGATTGCAGTGGAGCCAGGACACCATCACCACATCCTAACCCCCTCTAGAATGGCAGGTTAGGGTTTCTCTGCCCATCTGGATCAAACCCAAAGGCTGGGCATGTACAATTTGCATGTGTGTTGGTTTTCTGCACAAAAACTGGCCAAAGTTTGGGGGTCTGTCAGGGCTGATCTGGCACTACAATTGTGCTTCACTTTCCACTACCCCTCCGTTCATACACTGATTGTGCAGCTTCAGTCTGCTGCCCAGGCTAAAGTTTCTTTTTTTAAAAAAATTATAGACATGGTTGATGCATTTCCTTTTAAAAGTAATATAATTTACTCATTAGAGTTTCAGGGGTAGCGGAGGTAAAAATTGAACCTACAAACAATGAATTGACGACCCTTCCTGAAGGCCAGGAAGATAGCACGAATCTGCAGGTGATAGAGGACAAGCCTTTGAAACCAACACCACTACCAAGGACCTGGAAACCAGAAAAAACACCGAAGCTATCAGTTCTGTCTGTGGTTCAGTTGTCCATTATTCTCAGGTGTGGATATTCTCAGTGTTTCCTGTGGATAGTGATGGTTGGATACATGTGCATAATTTACATTTTCAATATATTACTAATTATGTCTGTATTTCTCACAAACTCCCTGAGAGCAAAAGAAAATGCATTTCTCTTTCAATGGGTTTTCCATTGTCCCAATTTCCGAGTGATACGATCAGTCCAATAGTCAATGTCAATGCTTTGATGTTAGTTCTTTGCTCCATTATGTGAACCAGAAAAGAATACTTAACCTTTATCTCCCCACCATGTGAGCCTTTTGAATTCATTCAAGTGTACATTGGACTTTGTTCCATTGTTCCACGTAGTTTGCAAAGGTGCAGGGGAAATGAATCACTATGATTCTTGCTTCGACAATAATTTGATTCTGTTAAGAAATGAGCCCTTTCTTACACACTGCTTTACAGCTGTATTCTAACGCACACTTATGTCACCTTGAGTTTTGAAAGGGCAGAATATAAGTGTTTTGAAAAGCTCACTATTTTATATAAGAAGAGAAAGAAGTCAGATATAGAATGTTGTAAGACTGGTTGTGTGGGTTATTTTGGAACATATTTAGACTGTTTCTAGCTCAGTACTGACTGGCAGTGGCTCTCATTAATAGCAACAACTTGCAGTGGTACCTTTCTGGTTTATTAGCCACACATTTTGGGTTTCACAACACGCCTTTCCTCTTTTCAGTAAAGTCAGAGATGACTGCAAATTGGAAGAGGTGGATATTCTCCTTCCCCGGAGTGATTTCACCAACTGCGTGACACTTGTCAAAGCCGCTGGGCGTATATGGTAAGGCCTCTTATTTTCATGCTGGTTTGTACCTTCAGCTCTTAAAAAGCAATCAGGTTTTTTGGTTAGTTCCAGCAATGTCACCGCATCACTACTGATCAATTTCATAAGAGACAGCTCAAGTTAATATTAATCAATTGACCCAAATTAAGGCTCACGCACACATGCTCCAGGCTTTCTAGGCACAGGGCTGAGTTTTCCCCTGTCCCAGGGGCTTTCCCTGGGAAAACCCATGTTTAAGTGCTGAATAGGAGCAAACAGCAATCTGGAAAACCCTATTGCTGTTTACTCCCATTTCGGCGGTAAAATGCAGGTTTTCCCCAGGGAGAGCATTGGGACAAAAAAGACCAACAACACCTGAACCTGGAAAGTCTAGACCTGTGCCTAGACACCTGGAGCAAAGGTAAGTGTGGATGAGGCCTAAGAAGAGCCCTGCTGGATCAGGCATAAGACCCATCAAGTAGTCCAGCATCCTATTCTTACAGTTGCGAAACAGATGCCTGTGGGCAGGACCTGAGAACAACAGCACTGCTGCTATTGATCCCTTGCAACTTGTATCCATATGCACAGATGCATAGATGAACACATGCACACATGCACTCATTCACACTTCTTTATTATTGTTGGCCTGCTCTGTGTGAAATCTCTTGTAGCCCTTGCTGTTGTAGCTCATGCTAGTCTTTCTCAATACAAATGATATAAGTGTGAAATGATTGTCCCAAAGAAGATTTCCAGAGCCCTGCCTTGTAATCTATCTAAAATCTATCTTTATATTTAACCTTTTGAGTTGACCTTTTGATCAGTCTATTTTTGGGTGTGAACTTTATTTTGCATTTTTAAATATGTTATTTAACATCTAGCTGTTATTGTTCTTGATTGTTACCCTCTTCAGGTTTGCCAAGAAATAACAGTGGGATATAATTTTTTCAAAAGCAACATCTGTTCACTGTCACTGGCAGGTGAACAACATACTTATATTAACTTGTTTTTATACATACTTCATATGGTGACATGTCATTTTGCAGTGTTCAGGAGAGCTGGCTATATAAGTTGGTTAGGGAATGCTAGTTTTGCATTCCTGCCAGAGACCAGAAATGAATTTGTTAAAACACTGAAAACTGCTGCTTGGCAGTTTAGGTTTTAATTTGCAAATCACCAACTTAGTTTTTATGTAACACAAAACAGAAGTTTTAATCCCCACATTTCTCAGTATATTCTTCAGTTGGGCATTCCCATACTAATGAGTTGGTGAGAGAGTTGAAATAAAAATAAATTTACAAGCACATAAAACTGCTCCACAGGCTTTGTGGACCACAAGATGTCACACTTTCTCTACCACAGTTTATTCCATATGACAAACAGTCTGGTGGTATTATGCTTTTGCATCCATATATTTCAGAGCAAAGAAAACACAATGCAAATGTGGTGGTGGGGAGGGGAGAAAAGTCATCAGTTACATACTGTTTGCAGACTATAAGGTACAACATCAGTGAACACTGATCATATTCACCAGATAAGACTTCTGTTCTGTACATGGGACAAATAAGCGAACACTGGCAATTTCTACTCCCATTTTTATGGATATCATACAACAATCCCAAGAGGAGGTTAAGAAAGTAGAGAATTTCCATTATCTCAAATATTTTGCAGAGTTGATAGGCAGTAGGGAAGTTAGTATGCTTCCTAGAATATCAGTATCAGTGACTGAGGAAAGGAAGGGAGGGTGAAATGGACATAGATTAGAGGTGCCTAGAGCTCATCTCCTGCTGTGCCTTCCCTTGTGTACTCTCTAGTGCTCAGTTGCAAGTCTGACTCTCTCTGCTCTCCTTTGATGTACTTCACATGCCTGCTGCACACTGCGCACAAGAAAGTCACTTTCTCAGGCCTTGTCAGTGATGGGAGGAAATTCTTCCCAATAAGTTTCAGAGAGGAAGTCCCCCTGTCATGGAAAGCTGATGGGCATATTCAGATTAGTAGAAAGAAGACTCCTTAAAAAAAAAATCCAATATTTAAAAAGTGCTGGAAAGAAGGTGGAGAACAATTGCTGGCTACATTTACCAAGGATAAAGCAAAGAGTAATGGAATGAAGTGACAGAAAAAGAAATCTACCTTAAAATGGCCTATCAAACCAATTCAGCAATGCAGTAAGCTACTTACAGAGATGGGACGCGGGTGGCGCTGTGGGTAAAAGCCTCAGCGCCTAGGGCTTGCTGATCGAAAGGTCAGCGGTTCGAATCCCTGCGGCGGGGTGCGCTCCCATCGTTCGGTCCCAGCGCCTGCCAACCTAGCAGTTCGAAAGCACCCCCGGGTGCAAGTAGATAAATAGGGACCGCTTACCAGCGGGAAGGTAAACGGCGTTCCATGTGCTGCGCTGGCTCGCCAGATGCAGCTTTGTCACGCTGGCCACGTGACCCGGAAGTGTCTGTGGACAGCGCTGGCCCCTGGCCTCTTGAGTGAGATGGGCGCACAACCCCAGAGTCTGTCAAGACTGGCCTGTACGGGCAGGGGTACCTTTACCTTTACCTTTTACTTACAGAGATGGTAGAATCTCCTACTTAGTGCATATAATGCATGTGTGTGTGAATATGTGTGTGTGTGTTTAAATAGATAGTGCATTTTGGCATGTGACTGGATAATCCAGGGAATTCTCCTTGAATCCATAATTCTATATGAGTTTAAACTTCCAGGGCTAGGGCTGTGTACTGGAATGCCGTAATAAAATAGCTCAACCAGCCTAGTAGGCCAATTATGTTAGGTCTCTGGGGTGAGATAAACAGAAAACCCCCAGATTGTCTACTGGAATTTATGCTGGACTTGATATGTGTACAAAGCCGGAGGCTTGAATACTTGATATTATTCATTTTAATTTAAAGATGTATCTTCCAACTTTCAGCAGCCTTAACTGCCAAAGAGCAATTTAGAGAACTTTCTCCCCACTCAAAGAATGAATTCAAATGTAGTACAGTAATGTAGAATAGAAATCAAAACCACAGGGTCAAAATCATTTTGTACTTTGATTCATATGGATCGTTGGTTACTGGTTCCAGTATCTTTAGGCTGACATACTACCTTTATTTTTTTTAAAAAAAACAACAAGTTGTTCACCAAAACCTGTTAGCTTTCAGGTTCATAACAGGATCACAATTAAGAATTATCTCTGGTTTCTAAGCTTCCTCTACAAGATTTGTGACCCCATAATAGACTGCAGATGAGTACCCATAGATCACCCTAAGCTCTGATAGTGTATTTCCATTTAACCTCCCTGATTGGCAGCTTTAATTGATATCTACTGTTTGATTAGATTATCTGCTTAGCTATCAATTTCATCCCGACTTCAGTATTTTTGAATGCCAGACTGCCAGATTTTCCATGGATACTTCTCCAGATAAGAAGCCATCACAAAAGTGAACAAGAATCCTAATCAGTCAATGCTTCCCCCCCCCCTGCCTCTTCTCCAATTCACTACAGTGTCTCCCAGTGGAAAGACCTGCATCGCTTGGGATGCATATTTCATCAAGGGGATTATATAGTGGCTGTGAATGACCTGCATGCAAAGAGCATAGATGAAATGTCTTTGTTCATAACTCGATCCACAAGAAAGGAGGTAAGAGCCAACAATTTAACTAGTTAGGACCACCAAGCAGTGAATTAGTTTGTGGCAATTAGCTGTGGGGCTTATCCAGGCACATTTGTTCAGACAAAAGCATGGTTAACATTATTATTATTATTATTATTATTATTATTATTATTATTATTTATTATTATCATCATCATCATCATTATTATTGCTGTGGCTGCTGCTGCTGCTGCATCCAATCTCCCATGTGGCTACCCATATGTTGGTCTATTGTGTGCAGCCAGTAATTTCACACCAGGGTAAAAAGTGGTAGTGGATTTCCTACCCTCAGCAACCCACTTTAATCTGAGCATGGACCTTATCCAAGGGATATGTTTCTAATGATTTTGCTCTGGAACATAATGGAAGACAGTGTAACATAGGAGCCAACTCCTAGGGGCTGTGGGGGCTTCGCTCCCCCCATAAAATATTTGAGGGGGCCAAGGCCCCACCCCCAAGTTGATAGGCATTACCATTCAAATGGTGTGCATGCACCCCGTCATGTGATTGATTATGTGGGGTGAGGCTTACCTGGGCCCGCCCAATATTTTATTCAGGTTGGCACCCCTACAGCATAATAAAACTCAAGCATCTTAATCACGTCAAGTTTCATTAAAAGCTGTTAATAAAAATAGGCACGCACACACACCCAACAATAATAGGTTTCATAGTAGAGTATTCATGAGCTGGGCTACCTGCTTAGAGGGACAGTCGGTTAAATGCAGTGCCAGCAAAAAATACAAGCTGTGTGGAATTTTAATTTGGACTAGAGCACGAGTCTTGCAGAGTGCCCAGGGACAGCATGCTCTGATCTGTTGTTGGGAAGAAAGGGGCCAAGGAGGCAGAGAAGACAAAGGGGAAATTATCTAGTATGTGAAAGCTGGAGAAAGCAATAGAAGAAGCAGAAGTGTAGTGGAGAACAGAAAGGTAAGTGGAAGTGATGGAAAACTGAAGACAGGGTCAGGGAATTTAGGGAAGGTGGGGCTAATGAAAAAATAGCACTGGGTGAAAATTCTTCACAATGATCTTGGGGACAAAGAAGACTGGTTATGTGTTGAAAAGGAAAATGGGGAGGCAATGGGATTTGTATTCATCTCCTGTTGAGACTCCTGTTGGTTTTAAGGCAATTCCAGACTTCTCATTTCTATTGACTTGTGACCATTTCCATTGTACGTATTAGGATTAAAGAGATACTGCATCACTAGTAATCTTTTAATGTGGTTCAGGTTAGGTGATCCTAGGTGATCATGGGTTAGTTGGCTATATTGGCTCAAAAACAATTGGCTTAACACTGTGAATTCATACTGTGGTAAATGTTAATTTGTAATCTCTCCCTGTTTGGCATACATTGCATTATTATGAAGTAGCTAGATTGTGCAATTCTTAACCAATCACCTACTCCTAGATAATCATTTTGCCTATTACACACACACACACAAAGAGACACACACACACATTTCTGTGTGTTTGGTATCCCAGGAATTAGTCCACCTCCCTAGCCACTATACCACACTACCTCAAAGTTTATTTGCCACTGCCTTGAAATCACTTTACCCAGAGATCTTCCATATTGTATTGGTGCTGGCAGTTGTAGGCTCTACACACTTCTCTGTGTTTGGCTGTCAAAACCATTTGTGGAGAACCACTCATTGTAAAACCTTGGATTTCTCATGGCTCGCATCAGGATTCTGTGGACACCCAACTTCACAAAGCTGTGCGGTACTGCAATTCACCCCCAAGATTAGATAATTTTAAACCTGCAAAGGTATATGGGGGAAAGATAAATTTATGAATTGTATATACAAAGTTGCTAATCACTATTATATTAACACAATGGTGCAGGCTTGTAAACTATAAATAGTAACATGGTAAGTGCTTATCTCTCCTTTTTCCCCCCAAAAGGTGAAACTGACTGTATGTCGACTTCCAGATTCAAAAATTTTACATGCTCAAGGCTGCAAATGTTCCTAATGGAGAAAAATGTAAGTGTGTGACGAACGTGCCTATTCTTCTATGCAAAAGTCATCAACAACTCAGTTACGTTGTAGTAAGCAGGTTTAGTTTTCCATGATGAATGGAGTTTTAATCCAAGTATTCTGATTTCACTGGCTTGTTATCCCATTTCATTCTAGAACTAGATGTTACTTATTCCAGAACTAGCATGATTTGGACTTTTCTATCATGCCCATTATCAGCACTAGATCGAAAACACAGGATCCCCCATCCCCTAAATTGGAAATATATGCTATGAAGCAAATCTAGAGTTCCCAGCCCACTTTTGCCTCATAATGATAGTGCAGAGATTTTTGCAATGGGAGATCAATGGTTTGCATTCATACTTTAACAACTGAACCACCAGCAGCTGATGGCAATTTAAAAAAGTATTGCTATATGATCTATTGGAAATGTTATTACATTCAAAATGAAACATATGAATGGTGGGTAAATAAATATAGTCTATGATGGGTAGGGATACATGCCAAAATCCAGCTCAAACTGGGCACAGTAGCATAGGTTGGGCATACAGCATGTACAAGGGCCTACAGCCTATAAAACAGGATATCAGATAACTTTATGCATGGGCAGCCAGGTCAAGCAGCCATTCTCAGAACAGTGGTTCTGGAATCAGCAGATTCCGAAATCCAATCCAGACATTTTGTAAATCAAGATTAAGAAGTTCAATTCCTCTGAGCTTCTTTGTGAAAAGGCAGGATCCATATGTAATAAAAATATTTTTATATGTTACTTGTTGCAGACTCTTCATTGGCCAAGATCTTAGGTCAAATACAAATGAAGACTTGAAAACAGTGCCCCCCCCCAAAAAAACCACCAAGACACCAAAACTTTGTCTCATAAAAAAGTAGCATGGTGGTGGTCTCTCCTCTTGTAGCACTCAGTGAACCGCACCAGACTGGGACAGGACTATTCCTCTGCAAATTTTGAAATGCAGTGGTATTCAGAAGAAATGGTATTTCACTGCTGTGAATATCCATAAATGTATTTAAAACCCTTTCAGAGTTTCTGCGCTGCTCCAAGAACAAAGATGCTGCCATTCCACTGTGGTATCAGACATTTGTCTTTCTTTTTTCATTTCATTTTTCTTTGCTTTTCTATTATATCATATCTTCACCACATACTGCGTTACAGTCCAACATAAGATAATAAAAAAGGAATAGCATAAATATAAGACATATGTAAGTGAATAATACTAATAACAACATAACTTATTCCTCCATCTTATTTAACTCTTATGTATCTTAACTCTTAACTTAACATTCTCTCATGTTGTAACATCTACTGCTGAGTGTTTTTTATCAGTCTGTTACGATTATTTTCATGTTGTAATATTTTTTCCATATAACCTATATATAATGTCCAGTCTTCTTTTAGACTTATCATCTTTATTTCTTAATATATTTGTCATAGAGTCTTACGGTAAATGTTTTGTTGTTTATTTTTTTTTGCTAATTTATGGACCAATTTATGCTTTTCTGATTTATTGAGTTAGTTATGCTCATAGTTAAGAAATCCATGCTTGCACATCAACCTCACCTTTTCCTTCAGCAGAGGTTTATATTCTTGTAGAGATTATTAATATCCAAAAACATATTGTGCTAATTCATGTGCAGTGCTAAAACAATACATGCACAAGCTAAAGTAAGCCCAAACAAAATCTCTGGTTGTGCGATTCCCCCATTCTGGCCAGGAAAAGGACCTTGCTTCGATTTAATTTCACTTTCCACACATCATATGAACCAGTTAACATGGTTTCAAACAAACTCTAGTCAGTTTCAAAGCAAGCCAACGTCAAGCCACACATTATAAGTTGGCTTGTTTAACTAACTAAAGTTTCTTTTAAACCACAATATCTGGTTCATACATATCATCAAGTGCTGTCGATGAAACATAACATCTTATATGGCGTTAAAAGGTAAAGGTAGAGGACCCCTGACAGCTATGTCCAGTCTCGAACGACTCTGGGGTTGCGGTGTTCATCTCGCTTTACTGGCCGAGGGAGCCGACATTTGTCCGCAGACAGTTTTTCCAGGTCATGTGGCCAGCATGACTAAGCCACTTCTGGCAACACCAGAGCAGTACACAGAAATGCCGTTTACCTTCTTGCCGGAGCGGTACCTATTTATCTACTTGCACTTTGACGTGCTTTTGAACTGCTAGGTTGGCAGGAGCTGGGACCGAGCAACAGGAGCTCACCCTGTTGCGGGGATTCAAACCGCCGACCTTTTGATCGGCAAGCCTAAGGCTCAGTGGTTTAGACCACAGCGCCACCCGTGTCACCCTTATATGGCTTAGGCCTGGGCTATTTAAAGAATGTATTATCCCATACAAACCTGCCTGGGCTCAGAGATCTTTGGGGAAGAGCCTTCTCTCCTTTCTGCCACCCTCGCAGGCACGTTGATGGAGATGTGAGAGAAGGCCGTCCCAGTGGCTGCTCCCAGTCTTTGGAATTCCCTTCCTAGAGAGGCTAGAATGGGTCCTTCCTTGCTTTTTCTTCCACCAGCAGGTGAAGACTGTTTATTTCAATAGACTTTCAGGAACTGACTGTTTTTAAGAAAAGGGCTTTAAATAGTTCTGTGTTTTGCTGTTTTTACTATATGTATATTAATATATTTTTTTATATTGTTTTCATTCTATTATAGTTCTTTTAAGTGATTACCTTTTGTATGTTTTTAGGTTTTTGGAATTTATTCATGTTATTTCAGTTTTTGTAAATGGCCTTGAGTCCCAGTCTGGAGAAGAGGTGGGATATTGAGGATCAAAGAAGATTTGTGGAAATTAAGTACAGTTCTTCCATACACTTGGCAGCATGAGAGGGGAGGGGCTTTGCTCAAGCTCATTATAGCTTGTACATTATTTAGTGTTATGTGTGAATCAGCCCTTTGAGTAACCATTAAATCAATGTTAACCTATTTAAATAAGCACTCAGCTTTACATAGATACACAGGTCCTGTTCCCTTGGACAACCAGGATTTCTAAATATTATACAGTGGTACCTCGGGTTACAGACGCTTCAGGTTACAGACGCTTCAGGTTACAGACTCCGCTAACCCAGAAATAGTACCTCGGGTTAAGAACTTTGCTTCAAGGATAAGAACAGAAATTGCTCAGTGGTGGTACAGCAGCAGCAGGAGGCCCCATTAGCTAAAGTGGTACCTCAGGTTAAGAACAGTTTCAGGTTAAGAACGGACCTCCAGAACGAATTAAGTTCTTAACCCGAGGCACCACTGTATTGTATCTTGCTTCTGATATAAGATGTAGACAGGAGAACTATATGTTCTATTCTACAAAAATATGCCAAATTATATATTTCTGGTTTGGATAAAATGATGACAGTAACAGATGATGTTATGCTGAATCAGTTAGCTTCTGGTGCAGGGAAAACAATAAGAATGTATGTGCATGCAGTTTCTACAGAGAAATGTCATCAGAAGGTGACATTAGCCTTCAGTTCTTTTGTGGGTAGTTACTTAGCTACTCATGGTCGGCTCAAGACATTTTGCTTCATGAGGCAAAGGACAAGATGGCTCCTCCCCCACCATTGGGGAGGGGTCATAGGTCAATGGCAGAGCATCTGCTTTGCAGGCAGAAGGTCCCAAGTTCAATCACTGGCATCTCAAAGTAGGGCTGAGAAAGATTCCTGCCTAAAAGCATGAGGAACTGCTGCCAGCCAGTGTAGACAATACTCAATGGACTGACTCAGTTTAAGGCAGCTTCCTACGCTCCTATGTAACCAACTACTGTAGATTGGTAGCTAAATTTCCCTTCAATGCTGGCAATGGGACAGTGCCCTCTACTGCACCTGTACTGGGTGACTTTTAAGCCTACAGCAAGAGATGTCACAAAGGAGGACAGGTCATTGCTACTGTGACAACCCACCCACCCACCTTGATCCTAGGCCAATCCGTCTCCTGAGTTGTGATGTTTCTTCAGAACTTTGTGGTGACTACTATTCTGGCTGCAGAGTTGTTGAATCACTCTTTGCGCTCACATCTCCATTTCTCTTACAGATCAGATTACAGTGGTACCTCGGGTTAAGTACTTAATTCGTTCCGGAGGTCCGTACTTAACCTGAAACTGTTCTTAACCTGAAGCACCACTTTAGCTAATGGGGCCTCCTGCTGCTGCTGCGCTGCCGGAGCACGATTTCTGTTCTCATCCTGAAGCAAAGTTTGTAACCTGAAGCACGATTTCTGGGTTAACGGAGACTGTAACCTGAAGCGTCTGTAACCTGAAGCGTATGTAACCCGAGGTACCACTGTATTCATTATCCCCCCCCAAAAAAATAAAGTTGAGGGATATTCATAGCACATAATATAGTCAAACGATAGTCAATGTCATAGCTTTTAAGCACTTGTCAAATTTGGCTCTTTTATTGATGTTACTGTTAGTTTTCTTGGGGAACAATAAGGAGCTTTATTTCAGCTAGTATATGGGGCAACTATTGTTTTCATACCTTTCAAGGTGATAATGCTGTAACATGTAACAGGTTTCCACCCATAGCCGTGCATTTTAAATGAGATCATCTCCCAACCTTTTCAGATTTTTGTCTTATTAAAGACTCCGTTTTAATCAAATGAGTCTTACAGGCAACTTGGAACGTATGGAGCAGTTACTAGAAATGCTTCTGGCATTTCAGGTGTTCCTTGAATATCAAATTTATTGATTTTTCTTTTCTTTTAAGGGCTGCTGCCAAGAGTTCATATTCTCCAGATTCTCTGAATTATAACAAAATAGATCCCATCTGTGCCCTATGAAGATATCCATCAGAACAGATTGATCTGTTGGGAAAAGGCAATAGATCAATGCTTAAGCATCTGTATGGCAAGCAGATGGTCCCAGGTTCAATCCTTGGTATCTCTAGGTGGGACTGGAATTCTGCAGTAATGTTTCCAGTCAGTGTAGACACTGTTGAGTTAGATTGACCCAATAGTTTGAGAGCTTCCTATATTCCTATTTTTCAGAGTTAGGGTTGCCATATTTTAAAAAGTAAAAATCAAGACACCCCAAAATTGTTGAGCTTGTATTTCCGGACATATGACAGCCCTATTCATAGCTGCCTTTTACTTATAGCGCACACATTGCTTGACATGGTAATTGACTATTTCCTAAGCTGAACTTCTTTAGGGTTGCCAGGATGCTGCCTTGATACAATGGGGCACAAGACCTCAATGCAGTTTCTGATCATTTTCTCACTTTACTGCTGGGATGAGCAGGCTTTCCAAACAACCTCTCTCTTCGCCACTTTCGGCATTGACTTTCTTGGGAGAGCACATATACTTAGGGAAGCTGTTTCTTCCTTCAATCTGTATTCCAAATGCCACCATCTTTATTCTGCTACAACCAACCTTCCACTTTTCATTACCTCTGTGGACATTTTGGTCCCAACACCTCTGAATTCTCCATCCAGGTAAGCAAGATACACTAACACAGTTCAAGGGCACTTTCCAGACAGACAAAAACACTCAAGGTCGGCACAGAGTATGGTAAGGGATGTGGCCTGGGAAAAAGGGGTGTAACCTGAGAAGACACAGGTTGCAGAAAGTCCCAGGGGCCAGAAAAAGACACCCAAGAAGCCACATTTAGCCAGTAGGACTGAAGGCTTTAGCTCCTGCTTCTGCTGTGGCCAACCAATCCAAAAGCAGAACATGAGAACAATTGTGACCCTCTTCTGCTGTTATTTCCCAGCATACTGCATCTGATCCTAGAGGTAGCATATAGCCATCATAACTAGTACACCTTGATAGCTTTGTTCTTTATAAAATTGTCTTATGCCTTTAGATGAAAGTTGTGGGAACTCAAG